CCCCAAAACCCCAAAACCCCAAAACCCCAAAACCCCAAAACCCCTCAATCTAATTTAACAATTGAAATAATAATAATTTAAATGAAAGACCAACAGTTCAATATTCCTGTACTGAAAAACAAGTTCTCAGACAGGTTCGGCCATGATCTGACGTACAAAATTGTCCAGAAATCCGAGAACCCTTGCATGCTGAGGTAGGTCGGGATAGTTAATAATGCAGGTAAATCTCCATACAAAAGATCAGCTCTGACACCTCAGAACAGGAACAAGTCTATACATCCTGAGAAACGACCTCAGAGTAATAAGATAACTGCCTGATCGTCAGGAGGGCTCGTTAAGTCCAAGAAGAATAGAAACGGGAAATATATGGGGATTTATTCAAAGATCAAGACCAAAATTAGTAATGACAAATTTGGACTCTTTCAAAAGCCATTTGACTACAATCAATCATTTATAAAATAAGAAGAACCCTTCATGTAATAGCCGGACGAGTAATTTATTAGATAAGCGGAATACTATGTTCGAGGGTACTTATAAGGTCAAGCCTAAATAAAATTAATGAATTTGATGCCTATAACCTAACAGTAAATAATCAATTTGATCTCAACAGAACAGTTGATATGTTGATTCACAAGAAGAATAAGAACTATTCGCAAATCTCTAATCTTCGTTCGATCAATAGGCCTAAGTCTATGGAGCGGATAAAGCGGAAGCAATTAGCTACTTCCAAGATCAAGAAACCGTGCAAGAGCAAGCCTCGGAAATAAACCTAAAAAGATCAAAAATGAAGTATCTACCTTTAGCCAGGTCAGAGCTTTGGTTGGAACAAAATCTAACAGAGAAATCAAACAATACTTGCTACAGAGTAGGAATGCCAAGCAAAAGATCAGTCCCTCAACCTCATATAAGAGTCGGAGATTCAAGCTTGATTCGGAAACACAGAAAGTTTGTAAGCCCAAGAAAGGTAGAGAGCCTAAACTGAATATCCAAACTAAAATGAACAAGTCAGTGATATACACGAGCAAGCCTAAAAAGAAGGTAAAAGATAAGCAGTTCCGACCTATTACGGATAAGACACAGATCTTGCCTATGCTAACAAGCTTCAAGAAGGGTGATATGAGCTTGAATGCTAACCTTCTTCGTCAAAGTCTCAGCAGCAATGTGAAGTCTCCTTCTCTCAAATTTGTCAAGCAAAGCTCTACTATGAAGGTATCGGATACTACAAATGCTAGTGCTGATTCCTTCTTAAAAAGCTCAGCTAGAAACCTTAATAAAGAGAAGAAGCCGAAACCAGAAACTATAGTTAAGCCTTCGAAGCCTAAGAAGCCAGCGGCTGAAGAGAAATCAGTTCGGCTTGACGATACTGTAAACAAAGGTACATTACTTGCATAACTCCTTTAGGCAAAAATATCGAAGATCAGGAAAAACGAATCCACCAGAATAGAGAAAATGTATTGTCATTTGGACCTCTAGTTAACGAGAGTCTTGAAATTCCTCTGGATCCAAAATAGCTCAAAAGAAAGCAGCAAGAAATCTAAGAAGAGAAGCAAAGGAGATACGAAAAACAAGGAGGATGGGACTAATCTCTCGCTCCATTCTTACGAAGATACGGATGAAGCTAATGAGAAGTACTATAGTGAACAAGAGCTGTCACGCAACATACTGGGCATTAATCAGAACTCTACCGGCAACGAAAATAATAAGGACATCAAGAATACTAATAATGACCAGAAGTCGAATTCCAAGACTCAAGACCTTCCAAGCGATTTTAATATTTTTAAATCTGGTGTTCGCAGTCCTGATAAAGAGGCCTCAAGTCAAGAAATCCTCTCTGATGATGACTCTTACGAATATATTGTAGACAAGGAGATCCTTGATTACATTGAGAGCCTCAGAGATCGGTTTGATCTCGACTCCATTCAGACGACCAAAGAGTTTATTGACAGGATTAATCAAGAGTTAGACTCTCCTGAATTAACAGAAAAGCAATTTTATGCTCTCCAGGAGCTCAAATAAAGGCCTTATATATGAGCTAGAGGAGCCAATTGAAATTGAAGGCGATATTGACACTGATGAGGACGTAAGAGAGGAGGATGATTATGCTTATGTGCTTACTAAAACCCCTCCTAAGCCTTCTATTATCACCACAAATGAGCAGATAGCACCAATGAACTACAATAGGGGTAATTCAAAACCCTTAGAAGGAGACAAATTCTGAACAAGTTTCACACCTAACATCCAAAACAGTCATAAGTTATTTATTAACAACAACACTGACGTCTTTAACCTAAAGCTGCATGATAGTGACCAAGGGTCGAAAGCAAGCACCTCTAAAACACCTTGTTTCATCGAAACACCAAGCAACAGCAGTCAAATAAATTCTCTAAGTGGGACTAAAGGTGGGCTTTTCAAGGCAAACTCAGGCTCTAAGGAAGTTATGGGAGCATCTTGAAAAGGCAACAAGATGCTGAACCCACAAGACCTCATTACAGCAATGAATAACTCGAGAGAAAAACAAGGGGCCAAGCAGTTGTTATCATCAGAGAAAAGTAGTGTTGAGAATTTTCAAAGGAAATTTCAAAAGACTCTTTCCTTTGGAGATAAGCAATAACTTCAAAATTTGAGATTGAAGTGAATGACTTATTTCAAATTTAAGAAAATTAAAGGGGTTTTGGGGTTTTGGGGTTTTGGGGTTTTGGGGTTTTGGGGTTTTGGGG